GTATTTTAGGTAGTTTATGTTGGTTGAATGGTCGTACGGTATTTTGGAAAGGGTAGGCTTTAATTTTGGGTATTCAATAATTTGATAAATCTGAAATCTGAATCTTCGATCTTGACGGAGGATTCGAAACTGGAAAAGGGCAAAAGAATTTCTTGAAAAATTTGTAACAGTCGAAGAATTCGATCGCGTATCACGGCTCACTTTCACTTCTCACAAGACTTCACATTGATTCAAGCTTCTACGAGTATTTCGTCTTCAGATGCATCCAAGTCGATAGAGTCCAACCGGATTCCGCACTTTCTCTTTCAAAGTGATCCATCACCTCACTGTAAGACAGTAAATTCACACGTTGTGTTTGACTTGGTTGAATTTTGATTAACGAAATGAAAAGGATTGTGGGTAAAGTTTATCAAAACTTGATTTGATTTGCTGAATAAGAATGGAAGTTAGATGATTAAATAAAAAAACGTATTCTGTATAGTTTTTTACCCGAAATTTGATTTGATTTGATTTTGCAGAATATGACTGGAAACTGAGCTGATGAAGTAAAAATAACGATCATAGGCAATGTTTATTGAAATTTGATTTGATTTGAATTACAGTATAGGAATGGAACTTAGCTAATGAAGTAAAAACACTGATTTTGTATAGTTTTTCATTTTTCAAAATTTGATATGATTATGCAGAATAGGAATGGGAACTGAGAGATGAAATAAAAATGGCAATTTTGGGTTTTGCAGAATAGGAATGGAAAATCAGCTGATGAAATAAAAACACAGATTCTACTTTCTAGACAGTGTTTTTCGAAATTTAATCGGACTTTGCAGAATAGGATTGGGAATTGAGTGAATAGATTAAATGCACATAATGATTTTAGGCAATGTTTATTGAAATTTGATTGATTTTGCAGAATAAGAATGGAAACATAGTTCCGGGCGCTGTTGCCACTTTGGTTGATGAATTAGCTGCAGTGATCCAGGTTGAGGGACGGCCTGTGGATGTTTCAATAGACATGTCAATAAATTACCTTTCTACTGCAAAAATGGAAGTAAGCTTTCTCGATTCAATCTCCCTCTTTTTGTTAACGTATAGAAGCTGATAGTAATTTCGACTGGATCAGTGTCTAAAATTGATGACTACTGCATCAGTCAATGCTTTTGTAGGACTTTAATCGTCCATTTCATTTACTATGAGCAGGTAAGAATACATTTTGTCTTAATGGAAGATGAAAGACTACACTGTAAATAGACCATCATTTTTAGCTTAAAACCGACTTTACCATGGAAGGTGGAAATATCTTCCATGTTGCTGTTCCCCTTCTCAGTTTAGTAAAAATTTTCCAGAGATTTTCCGTTTAGCACAAATGAACAAATGCATTACTCGTAAAGCTTGATACATTGTTGATGAGGAAAGAGGATTGCATTAGGTATAAATACTAGTCTACCGACTGCTCATTTGAATTACAACCCTGTTTGATAGGTTGTATTTTCTAGGGAAGTTGGAAATTATCAGTTTCTTTTCCACTTGTTTGTCTGTTTGACACCAAATTTTCTAGGGAATTAGTTTTCTTATTTTAGCTCACGAGACCCCTTATTCCACGAAATTGTGGAATTGAAATTCCCTTGGCTGTGGTGGTTTTTCATTTTCTTGGCAATTGAAAATCAGCTCAGCACTTTCCCTTTTTTTTCTCACACCTTCCCCATTCCCATTACCTTCTCTGCCCCATATTTGAAATACCTCCAAAATCAACCAAAAAAATACCACAAAATCCTATCGTTGAAGGGGAGGAGTGCGTGGATTGCACCCAAGAAAACACAGAAGCTCTCGGAACTGGAATATCGGTAAGAATCCCCAATTTCAGACCTAGGGGTTGCCGATTCAAGTTTGCTCTACGCCCATCTCTCTCTTCTTGTGACCCAAAACAAAAAAATTTACCAGGGTAAGAAGAAACAACCCTCCAATTCCCATGTCCACGTTCTTGAATATATGAACCCAAGGTGATATCTTCTTCTGGAGTCCATGGCCATTTCTTTACAGTAATTTTATCACAACAAGGTGCTCTACCCATATTGAAAACTTATTCAAATCAGTCCTTCAGAAATGGACTTTTTTCTTATACAAAAACCAAATATTTTCTCTCTAGTTTATGAAGGAGGTCATGGTGAGTAGAAAATTACGCAGAGACAGACGTGTGACTGAGGGTGTGGACATTTTTTATGTGGGATATATAGAGAAGAGACAGATATTCAATATACACTGACTAACTCATTGAAAATTGAGGCCAACTCTCTGTCCTTATAGTAAAAAGTAAACAGCAATTAGCATTTACTCATTTCATTTTAGAAGTCACATGTTTGTTCAATGTGTGGTATTCATTTGCAACACTTGTATTTCTTGTGTTTTAATTAGGGCAATCCTATTTTAAGCCTTTCTCGTTAAATGTTAAGTAAAGATTGAAAAAAATTTCGTTTTTACATATTTATTTGTATGAATCATGATGTAAATTGAGCTTGCTTAGATTGGAAGTGATGATGAATACAAAACTTTATATACCTATTGATGCAGATTTTAGTCATTTCGTGTTGGATTCTAGCAACTTGTGTGCGTTTTTATGTTGCGGGATATACCTTTCTATGTGGATTTTAGTCATGTCGAGTTAAATTAATTTCTAGTGACATGTGTATGTTTTCAAGTTACAGGAACAATCCCGAAATTAAAGACATTTAATTTATCATCTTAAAACATGAACAAATCTCTCATTTAATGAAATGTTTATTGTTCTGTTAAATTTTCATTATTGGATCTTGCGTAGAGTCTGTAGAGAGTTAAGTAGTTTATGAATTTATTTTTAATTTAAAAACCTATTTGATTACTTTTGAAGAACCATTTTAAGTTGATAATTGGAGGTGGGTTAGCTCATTTTCACCTATATTTTCGCATTGCACATATACGTTTTCGTATTTTGTTAATTGTCAACAATAATTTACATCATATTGACACTCTTTAGATGTTGTTCTAAGTACCATGGCTACCACAAAGAACCAACGTCGTCGCCAATTGCAACAATTGGGTCTATTTTGGACGATGGTCATGCAAGCAATTGTAATATATAACACCATCAGGCGTCGTAATCGACAACTCCCTAGAGCCCTACATAGAAATTGGGATTCTGAAAGAGAAATGACACTTACACGGATGTTTGGTACGAGTGATAGAATTTGTCATGATCTACTGAGGATGAAGATAGCTCCGTTTCAAAGTTTATGTGCTCGTTTAAGAACATATGGTTTGGTTGACGATAGATCTATCAAAGTAGAGGAACAAGTGGCTATATTTCTAAACATTGTTGGACATGACCACCGTAATCGAACTGGAAGTTTTACGTTCTTNGGGGCAATCGATGGTACTCACATTCCTGCGAATGTCCCCGTAGAGGAACAAGCGAGGTATCGCAATAGGAAGCAAATGATAACTCAGAATGTTTTGGTCGCTTGCACATTTGATATGAAGTTTACATTTGTGCTTGCCGGTTGGGAGGGATCCGCCTACGACAGTCGGTTGTTAAGGAGTGCAACTTTACGACAAGGTCATAGACTAACAATTCCTGTTGGTAAGATCTACTTTATGTTTGATAATTTAACTTTCACCTCTTTCAATGAAGAACGACAATTTAACAAACATGTGTGGAATAGGTAAATATTATCTTGTCGATGCCGGATTTCCATTGGTTCCGGGATTTCTAACACCCTACCATCGAACTCGGTACCATCGTAGAGACATCGAGGGACATCGGCCTGAAAGCAAGAAAGAGCTATTTAATTTTCGACATTCCTGCCTACGAAATGTTGTGGAAAGAATTATTGGTCTGCTTAAAAAAAGATTCGCATATCTGAGGCATCAACCATACCACGACATTGAGACACAAGCAAGGATTGTGCTTGCTTGTTGTGCCATTCACAACTTCTTAAGGATTTATGACGCAGAGGATCTTTGCGACGAGGACTATTATAGTAGCGATGATGAGGTTAACCTTGGTCATGTTGATGCACTCGAAGATGACACACCAAATGCTCCTATATCTTTCACAGCAGAAGCTGCATGGTCTAGTAATAGAGATACAATGGCTGATGACATGTGGGCCGCTTACCATCCAACTCATGATGCGGGAATTGATTTTGATTGAATCTACTATGTTGTATATTTCATTATTTGTGTTTCCTTGTAATGTTAGGAGATAAACTTGCTAGTGTTCTTGTCTCTTACTATGGTTGCTTCTATACTTGTTCTGTTGTAACATTGACTTCGATACTTGTTCAGTTGTAATGTTTTCTTATTTCCAAGGCTATCTACATTTGCATCTGTGATATAGTTTCGAATCTCTTTGCCTGGTTTATATCGTTGTTAGATTGTTTTCAGGCAATACTGTTGTTCCTTATAGTTATGCTAATATTGTCATTTCTCTATTTTCAAGTGATAGTGTTGATGGCACAGAATCGACGAAGCTCTACGGGTCCTTTTCATGTTCCCAAACCGACCACCAATTCTGACGGGAATGACATTGATTTTGGTAGATCGCAAGTGAAGCCTAATGCTAGGACTCGTCACGTACGTTGGAGTGATAAGATGGATGGTTTTATGATCACTTCACTTGTTGAACAAGTGTTGGCTGGGCACAAACGAAGTGACAATGGCTTTACTTCATTTCAAGTATCTAAGGCAATTGACAGGGTTCTCAATGGATGCGGGGTCATGGTCTCAGATAAGAATGTAAGGGCAAGATTAAAGACTCTTAAAAAAGAGCATGCTGAAGTTCGCCAGTTGCTAAATATGAGCGGTTTTGGGTTGGATCCAGAAACTGGACGCATTGTAGCTGATGTCGTTGCTTGGGACGAGTTTATCAAGGTACGAATTAGGACGCATTTTGGACATTGCTACTAATAGCTACCGAGAAAATAGATATTTTAGGACAGTTACAATACACCCAAAAGGTTATTTTGCAGGGAAAGCCAAAATTTGGGAAGTGGAGAACCAAACTTTGTCCAAGATATGATGAGATGGAGACTATCTTTGGCAATGATGCTGCCACCGGAGAGCGAGCAGTGTCTGGCTTCGACCATTTCTCCCTAATGAATGGTATGCAATATATATTGTACAGTACGATACTTTGATTGTATTCATGTATAAACTTCTAATAAGTTGTTATCTCTTTAATGTAGTAACTGATGAAAGTGTGAACGAGGTAGATATGGAAAATGTGGAGATGGATCCTAGCCCAGTTCATGGTCGTAAACGTACCACCGAAGAAGGAACCAACAAAGCCAAGCGTTCTCGTGCACAACCAGTAGATGAGGATACTATCACCCTATTGAGGATTGCCAATTCATCTACAAAATTGCTCAAGCTATGGAAATGCAAGCTACGCTAGATACACTAAATCATGTCAACTGACAGTTAATTATAGAGAAGCTAGAGGCCATGAACCTAGACATGGACGACATCATGCAAGTCTTGAAAGCCTTTCGATCCGATGATGGTTTGGCTAAGGTATTTTGAACTTGACGAGTACAAAATACATGCGTGCTTTGGTGTTTGACAAGCTTGGTCGTGATCCGTCTCCACTACCATAGATTGCACATGACTTATGACGTTAGTATGTATTAACTTGTAACCCATTTGGAAAACTTAATCCACATAAATAGCTCTTTGAATGTTTTTTGTAACGCGCACAAGTAACAACTAGTGTGCAATGTTTTGTAACATATGGTGTGGATGTCTTTATGTATGTGGAAAATATTAGTCCACCTACCAGTGAAAAATATGTATTGTCAAGGAGAAAAATATTGTTTTTGCATTTTGTATTCCCAAAACAGTTCTTATCGCAAAGTACAATATATTTCTTTACACTATTCAATTTTAAATCATTCGTTCGTTTTCTTTNTATTCAATTTTAAATCATTCGTTCGTTTTCTTTGCATTGGGTGTTGGTTACTTCAAGGAAAATTCTTACAAATAGCTATCAAAAACCAATAGTTGGGAAAAAAAATTTCCATGAAAAACAAAGCCAATCAAATACCAAAAGATGGAAAATCTCAATATTTTCAAGGTGGAAAATTATACCAATCAAACACAATTAATTGACAATTCCCAATAAAATAAATTCTAAGCAATTCAATTCTTTGGAATTCGTTTTCTTTCTACTCAAATTCCATTCTTACAATTAAACGGACCCTAAATATTTGAGTTTTACTAAAGTAAGAACACCATGAACATGTTGATTAGTAGAGGCTTCCCCCATCTGAAGGATTATTATTATTACTGATTCACTATGGTCATGATTTCTTGAAGAACTTCAGCAATATAACCATGTATCCTTCTGCTTATTAATTGTTGCAATATGTATAATATTGAAAACAGTTGAACTTGGAGGTTGTGGGTTATTCGTGCACCTATATATTCACCTGTTAGCTTTACATTTCTTGTTTTTGGATTTGATGACATGAGGCAGCGAACCATTTGTCTACGCTGCCGTTGTTGCATGTATAAGATCAGAGCAAGTTGCATTTTTTATTTTTAGTAACTGTTTGTGCATACTCGATTTTGTGATGAGAAAGCTGGGGATATTTTTTTCTCGATTTTTGGCTGAATTATATTCATAGGGAAATTCACAAACACCACCTCCGCGCATAGGTCCGGTAACATTGATTATTAACGGATAGAGTATCAGATTTTTTAAGCCAAAAATTGGCCCTTTTTTCAGTGGCAATCCCCAAAACAATTAAGGTATGGCGAAGAATTACTAGACCAGTTGATCCTATATTTAGAGTGTTCTTCGGTCATTTCGTAATTCCCATCTAGCATGTTTGTAATTTACCAAATTATTGTATGGAATTTATGAATTACTGGACCCTACACGTTACATCTCAATCCTGGTATAACATATATCAAGCAACAATATTTCAAATAACCGATATGTTGGCTGAATTTGAGCCTGGGATTTCTGTGTCATGACCTTACAATTTGTTTGGCATTCCGGATTGGAGATTACTATATAGGATTCGGGTAAAGTTTTGTTCACTACTACGTAGTAAACATGCCCTCAACCTTTTCTTTTGTGACTGCTCGATCGAGGCTCTTTTTATAATTATATGTGTGACTACTTTGGTTGAATTGGCAGGATGAACTGGAGATGACATCAAGAGTCTTGGATCAGAAAGGTAATTATTCTGGAACAAATTTTCTTACTAGAAACAAAGCAACTGGGGAGGTTGATTTGTTGTTTCCTAAACCTGCAAGCAAACTGTAATGACGTATAAAAATGTTAAGAACAGGGAATTAATTGAGAAGGCACAACTTCTTTTTCTACTTCTCCTTAATTGCTTTCTTGTCCTAATTATATTTTTATGCTTATTAGAGGATTAATATGATCATTATTGCAATGGAACTGTCTGTAATGTAAATTTATTATATGCTTAATACAGCTTTTTGGCTAAGCCCTTGTTTGGCTGCTGTTTATAATTTTTTATAATCTGTCAAAACGACTTTTTATCCACATGACCTACCTAGTAGTACACACTTATTCATCGTTCATTTTTATCTATTTATAATTTAAACAATTTCTAAAAAAAACTCTCAAACATGCTCTTGATTATATGCACGCTAAAAGGTGCTTATTATGGCAAATATGACCACCATGCTCAAATTATTTTATTGGAAAAATTAGGGTTAGGCTGTTAAACCATTTAATATTTTTCTTCAATTTAACTAAAATTTGTTTGCGATTTTGATAACTACATGGACGATTTCGTGAGGATTCAGATTCGCATATTTTAATAGGACTAGTAGCAAACACGTGTGTTGTACGTTTTATGTATCGGATGAATGATATGCGTAATATTTTAGAAGTACTAATAAGGTTTTTAAAGTGTGTGTATATTTTTTTATGAAATTATGTATATAATGTGAAAATATTGAATAAACTTAAATGCAATGTTATGATTTAAAATAACACTCTTTTATGCACGATATTTTTTTGTCAACGTCCCACATTGTTCTTTATATTTTTTGCTTTTACTAAAATTTTTGTTGTTTGCATATAAATTCCATGAGAAAGTGTTACATATAGTTGCCTTTTGAGAGAATACATGTTCAGAAAGGTACATTCCAATAGTGAGCACTATTTGTCCTCGAGCCTTGTTTAATGATCATTACAAAGCATAGACGTATTGAAAATTGTTTAATTTTTTAAATTTGAATGGATATCTTTCATCATTTGTTGGAGTTAATAAAAACTTATTTTCCAAAATGTGGTTCAACGATTATTTTTGTATGGATAATATGTTTCTTGAAATCATGACAAATCATTCTTGGTCCATTGCAAAGACCGTTGAATGGGTCCAAATTTCTCAAGAGCATCATTAGACAATTTCTTTTCAAGATTAACTTATGTGGTGGGATACCATTTGGCAACAGTTTATTTAGAAACTCCTCTTGATAAAATTGATTTGTATCATCTATTGCTTCTTCAAAGTTGACAAATTCTTCACTTCTCCAAGAAATAATCCAACTAGTTCGTCATTGAGGTATGCAACATACTCATTTTTTGTTGAAAGAATTTCACGTTGTGTCATATAATCAAAAGAAGATGCATTTTTCGTTAAATTTGGGAACACTGCGTAGATTAAGTATGACTCCGAAGTTTCAACATCGTCACTTGTTATAACTATCTCATTTGGTAAGTTGATGAAGTCATCATCTATATAAAGTTTTGTCCCATTACCAATTTTGATCAAGTATTGTGCAAATCGATTGTCCAAATTATTTTTAATATGTAATATTAGGTTTGAAAAAACCAAACTGTATAAGTAATATTGTTCAAGTTAATTATATATGTAGTATTATTATAATTTCTTTTTAATTGTATGTAATAATGTTTTTATTAATTGTGCACTAATAATTAGAAATAATTGTGATAAGAGAAATTAATTAACTTAATTTTTGAAAGCAATTATTAATTATTTTATTAAACGAAAATAAAATAAATCATTTGGTATTTCGTTGTACACTAATAATTAGTAATAATTGTGTTTAGTGAAAATTAATTGACTTCAGTTTTTAAAGCAATAATAATTATTAATTATCTTATTAGATGTAAAAAATTGAATAATTTAGTATTTCGTTTTTATCTAAACTTATGTATATTTGTATGTAACTGTCAATTAAAATTACTTTTAAATAAGGGTAAATAATAAATACAACTTATTAATGCAACATTTCAATTTTTTATTATTTTTTTCTTTTGTTAATAAACCATAAGGGCATATAGACAAATATGTAAATGTAAAAGTAAAATTCAAAAGTTTCCCCAAATCCCTAATATTAATATATTGTAGATTGTAGATGAATACTCACAACTTGAAATCAAGACCACACTGCAACAATTCCAAACATTTTCATCTGTCTTTGGAACACTTGCAAAAAATAAAAATGAAAATAAAAATAAAAATAAATGAAGCCCCTGTTTGATTTTGATAAAAATGATTTTTTTAGTAAATTTTAATAAAAATCGTTGAAAAACGTTGTTTAAAAATTGATGAAAGTTATAAATTCAAGTATGACAGAAAATAAATTTTGAAAAATGAGGACGAAAAGGTGTGGTGCCTCATGAATTTTGATGCTCATGAAATTCTCCAAATTTATCTTCTTTATGCAATTAAATATTAAAATCTCAAATAACATTTTTAAAGTTTATTTTCTTGGTCGTGATCATTAGGTATTTATTTGAGCCCCATTTTTAGTCAAAAATGCATTTTGAAATGATAAATTATATTCACACCATATTTTAATTGCAATTAAGGTTCTTAATTTTTTCTCATTATAATACTTACGTTCCTAACGATTTTTCATGTCATTCTTATTCTACAATTTTTCATTAGTTAACACATTTTATATTTGATAATAATTTTATGTTCAAAAGAAATTCCAATTCCAATTCATCTTCGTATAACAAACGAAATCGACGGAAGTAATAATTTATTTATGATCAAACAACTATCACATCTACCAAAATTAATTTGATGACTTCTGATTTTCAAAATACATGCACTCATCCGTTTCTGCCAAAATTAATTTGATGACTTGATAATTGTATGTATTGATATCTTGAAGTCAATTTTTATCTTTTCCGTTAGTTAGGTGGCAGTAAATAAATTGTTTCGAAACATTGAATCTAACGACAAATATTTTAAATTAACTCCAATAAATTATATCATAATAATTTTTAAGTGATTAATTAAAGTAATTATTATGTCGTTTATTTGTCTCATGAACCTATTCTTTGCTTTTATCTATGTTTGTAAAATATATACGTATATGATGATTATTAAATACTCTTTATATCTTTATCATGGTTAAATATTTTTAATGTTCTTTTTTTAAACTTTAAATCAATAACTCATCATGTTGTTGCTTGAAGTAGCAAAATATTATAATTAATATTTTAGAAGAATAGTAATCGTAGATCTGTCTGTTATAAATAATTTGTTGTTCCTCTTGAAATAACACGACATTATAATTAATATTCTTGAAAAATATTACATGTTTCTGAAGAGCATAAATTATAATTCTCAATATTTTAAAAGAATATTGACTTATTGCCTTTGAAGAAGTAATAGTAAAATACAACGTGCTCCCTAAATAGTACATGTTTCGAAAAATATATTATTTTAGTGTTTATCTCTGAAAGAAAACATATAACTAAGACCATTAAAAATTTTTTTTAGTTTGACTATTTAAATGATATATGATTATATAATGTTTAATTATATTGTTTGAAATTAAATAATTGAATTTTTCTTATATTGAACCAAAAGTTCAATTTGATTTTATTGTTTGGTATGACCAGTTAGACCATCACTGAATCAATAATGATGCGAAATTAAAAATTCAAAATCAAGGAAGAATATATTTATGCGAAATGAAAATAGAAAAAGTAAAGTTGTAGTGTGAAATATACGACACTTTACATAATGAATTTCACGAAAACTAGCGTAAATAGATAAATTATCATGTGGTGAATATAATAACAAGTCTCTATTTTATTAGTTTGACAATACATGAAATTTGAAGTGCATACAATAAGTTTGACTATAGCCAACTTATCTTGTATGATTTTAGTACTATCTTCGAAGCATTTTATGCTTGAAACATATAATTAAAGTGCAATTATCGTGCGTGGGAGAATACGCGTGGTACTCTTTTTCCCCCGACCAAGGTTTTGTTGCATTGAATTTTCCTGCCAAAGTGTTTGATGAGACTGTTTTTGTGGTGTATTCAAAAGAATAATGTAATATGTTTCCTAATAAGGTTTTAGTGAGATATATTCTTTGTGTGATGAATGTCCTTAACATACAAGATATTTTACCTTCAAAATAATATTATGATATGTATGAAACCAATGAAGAGATCAACAAAATCTTTTTTTTTTTTCGAATCATCATGTTATTACAGTTATCAAAGATTGATAAATATCTTGTATGAAAACAGTGTTATTTGAAAACTATACAGACAACATGAGACATACTTCACTAAAAATTGAAATATTGAACACATTGACGTACGAGATATGGATTACCCGATACAAGAATTTTCACTTATTGAAATAAGGGGAATAACTGTACTTTTTTCCTTCGATCAAGTTGTCTCACTAGGTTTTCTTGACAATGTTTTATTTAACGAGGCAGCATTTTATTACTCCAAATTATTTGTATTCTATCTTTATTTGTTGGTATTTTTTCCATTGAGTTTTTGCCAAATTAGGTTTCAATGATATAATTATTGATAATTATTCAGTATTATTATGATACATATATAAGTCTTATGTAGCCTAAAAGATTTATTTCATTCCAATTGTCACTCTTTTTTTTGGATCCTATAAATATGGGGTATTGATTCTCAATAAAACACAATTTCGAGCTTTGATTCTTTTCTTTAATTTTCTCTCTATTTATTCTCTTTTATTCCTTTGATTTTATAACAAAAGTTGCTATTATTTTATTTAATCAATTATTCATAAATTTGCCATTACTAAGAAGAAAGTAATTTTAAAAGGATTAATTTCACAAAAGATCACTAAAGTTACCTGAAAATCACAAAATGATCACTGAAGTTTAAAATTTGCAGAAACAGTTACTGAAGTATAAATTTATTTCACAACGGTCACTGAATTTTTAGATTTTTTGGGCAAGTTTTACAACAAATTTCCGGCAACTTCCGACCATCAAGATCGTTGGAATTTGGATACCGTTGGAAAGCCCACAATGTCTTCTTCAATCACCACAAAAAATCTCCCCATAACTCCAAGGGATTCAGCCGAAATATACCCACGAAATCGGCTATCGAAAAATCTAAAAATCTGCCCAGATATTCAGATTTTTTGGGCGATTTTGCGGCAATTTTCCGACAACTTCCGACTACCAATACTGTCGGTTTTGGATACCGTTGGAAAGCCCACATGTCATCTTCAATTACCACAAAAAATCTCCCCATAACTCTAACGGATTTGGCCGGAATAAACCCACGAAGTCAGCTATCCAAACTTGACAGATTTTCAGATTTTTTTGGTAGCTGACTTCGTGGATTTATTCCGGCCGAATCCCTTGGAGTTATGAGGAAATTTTTAGTGGTAATTGAAGAAGACATTGTTGGCTTTCCAACCGTATCAGAAACCGGTGGTATTAGTGGTCGGAAATTGCCGAAAAATTGTCGCAAACTCCCCCAAAAAATTTGAAAATCTGAGCAGATAATTTAAGATTTTTCAGTTGCCGACTTTGTGGATATATTTCGGTCGAATCCCTTGGAGTTATGAGGATATTTTTGGTGGTAATTGAAGAGGACATTGTGAGCTTTCCAACGGTATCCAAATCCGGCGGTCTTGATGGTCGGAAGTTGCTGCAAAACTTACTCAAAAAAATCTGAAATTTCAGTGACCGTTTGTGAAAGAAATTTATACTTCAGTGACCGTTTCTGTAAGTTTTAAATTTCAGCGATCGTTTTATGATTTTCGGGTAATTTCAGTGACCGTTTGTGAAATTAACAATTTTAAAATGATAAAATAAGTTAAAATAAAATAAATTAAATTAGCTTATCTGTAAACACAGATAATACAAAAGCAACCAACAAGTTGATTGTAGATTTTATTATAGAGTAGAAGGATAAAGATTACAGTTCATTATGAAGCAGAGTGATAGGTCCGATTTCAATCCAACATTAGGTTGCTCAAATTGAAGATAAATTGAAAAATTTCAAAACGAAGATTTTCAGTCCAAATAAAAATTTACAGGAAGTTGCGTTCGTGATTATATGAATTTTCCTTTTAGATAAGGTTTATCGGAGTGGGAATTCATAGAAATCCAGCTGAAATTGAGAAGAAATTACAGAGTAACCGGCGGCCATGAATTCTCCGATCGCTCTTAATGGACGCCATGTCACAAACCCAACTCCAATCCTCCAAAACCCCAAACCCTACAAAATCCACAAAAATTCTAACATTAAGTTACCTTGTACAATCTTCACAAACTCCTTCAGAACTTTCTGTTCTGTGAATAATCCTTTTACGGAAAAATTCCCGTATAAAACCCGGAATTTTGAATTGAATCGATTGAGGGCTTCATCAAATGATGCTCAATCTATTGCGGGCAGTTCTTTTGGCGACCAAAGTGAAGCACGAGCGCCGAGTTTTTTGGAATTTATTACTTCAGAGAGAGTCAAAGTGGTGGCAATGCTTGCATTAGCTTTGGCATTGTGTAATGCTGACCGTGTTGTCATGTCGGTGGCTATTGTGCCGCTTTCACTCGCACATGGTTGGCGTCAATCTTTTGCAGGTATTGTTCAGGTAAAGGCTTCCTCCCCATTTCGATTTGAATTATTTTTTTGTCCAACTTTTTCTCTGGTATGAAATAGATATGTACATGGTATTTTTAGATTTCATTACTGCTCAGTTTCTCTATTGAGCTAAATTTCTAATTATTGAGTTTTCTAATGAGCTATCTGCATTGAATATTCATCTTTATGTGAGGCTTGTGGAAGTGTCTGCATGAATTACCCGCATTAAAGGTTTTCTGTTCGTGCAAGCGGAATATAAATGCTTTCATGTGCCTTCTCTTAAAAAAGGAATAATTATTATAGTCGTTGCGGATTAATACTAATTAGAAAAGAAGAATTACTCAGTTGCGAGTAAGTGCTGAACTTGGGTAATGATTTTTATTTAGCTAGTACATGATATTGTAATAAATCTCAGTTAGTAGTGTGAAGGGTGGGAACTCTGTTATGTAGTATATATGGAAGTAATATGTAGAGTTTCTAAGAATTTTTTTGAAAGTTCACCATCCATGTGCCGATGGATAGTTATATGTATAATATGGATTCTCCATCTTGAATTTGGGCCCAGAATAGGGATGTGTTTCTTTATTATTGCTTTCAAAATATTTCCAAAAGGTCCTACCAACTTACTACACCTGACACATGATGCGTATCATCAGTGCACATAGCCAAACTTGATGTGCAGTGGAGTAGTTCTCATGTATGGCAGGTAGCACCATCAGGATGTGGTGTCTCAAACAAGGGGTGATTGTAACATTTCGGCTGAGCTGTGGTATAACAATTGGTGGCTCAAGCATTATGGTCTCTGTTATCTTCACCTATTGGCCAGGATGGACAATACCTCGTGAAGCATTCATTCTTAAGTTGGAGTTGTATGGAGGAGAACTGGTATTCGGATACAACGCCATTTTGCAGTTAGGTGATATATATAAATAAACACATATTTGAGGCTATAGAAATTACTCTTGCAGCACTTGAAGAAGATTTTTTGTGGATTCAAGTATTACTCGGGGGTTCTATCTTTAATCCCGACTTCTGGTAGTATATATACAGTTTCTTAGAGAACTAATAATTATTCTCTTGTAAATGGGTGGCATCCTCTTGGCACTGTGTAAAGAATAAATAAATTGGAATGGGAATAAATTCATCGTTGAGTTTTTGTGAAAATTTGAAACATTAGTGATGTATATAGCATAAAGATATATACTTCCTCTTTGTTTTCATCTGTGGTTTTTGGTTACTATTACTGGCTTTGATTGGGTTAATTTTCATTAATGGTAGTCATCTTTTCTATGGGGATACATGATATCACCTATAGCTGGAGGGACAATGGTGGACTATTATGGTGGTAAGGTGGTCATGGCGTGGGGAGTGGTGTTGTGGTCTTTGGCCACTTTCCTTACTCCTTGGGCTGCAGAAACATCTGTGTTGGCACTGCTTGCCATGAGAATGCTGCTCGGCATAGCAGAAGGTGTAGCGCTTCCTTGTATGAACAATATGATTGCAAGGTACCAAAGCTATAGAATCCCTCGAAAATGATTTTTCTTTTTTCACATCATTTTATCATTCAGGATGTGGGAAAGTTGGCAAAGCTAAATCCAAAAGGTTAAAACTATTTTAATTTTTGTTACAGATGGTTTCCTCAAACAGAACGCGCAAGGGTTGTAGGACTTGCAATGGCTGGTTTTCAGCTTGGAAGTGCTATTGGACTTACGCTTTCTCCAATCCTCATGTCACAGGGTGGTATGTATGGACCATTTGTAATATTCGGATTATTTGGTTTTCTTTGGGTGTTAGTTTGGGTATCTGCAACCTCCAGTACTCCTGAGCAGAGTCCTCAAATATCAATGTATGAGTTGAGGTACATACAGAACAAGGTGGCCATACCCTCTCTCTCAAGGAATGAAAATAAAACAAGACAAGTCATTCCTCCTTTTAGGCGATTGCTCTCTAAGCTACCTACTTGGTCTCTAATTGTTGCAAATGCCATGCACAGCTGGGTAATGCATCCACTCATCCTTTAGCTCAGTATCATTATTGCAGTTTCATTTTGTAACTTATTACTGTCAGTATTGACCAGAATCCTCTCATGTATAACTTATCACCCATTACTTTGAATTTTGCAATATTATTTTTATAGAAGATGATTTCATATTTCTCTTGTTTCATGCAGGGATTTTTTGTTATACTTTCATGGATGCCAATATACTTTAAAACGGTTAGTCACATTATATGGGTGTAATTGCTTCCAGATTCCAGCTAACTTATCGTTTACTGAGATGAATGATAAATTAGAGGATGTACATCTTTTGTAGATATATCACGTTGACCTCAGAGAAGCTGCATGGTTTAGTGCTGTTCCATGGAGCATGATGGCTGTAGTTGGCTACTTTGCTGGGTTTTGGTCTGACATGATGATTCAAAGAGGCATAAGTGTTACTTTGACTCGCAAAATTATGCAGGTGGGACTTTGTTGTCCTTTGTTTGTATATTGCACGTAAGGACATTCATGTTTCACAGTCATAAGATTTTCTAGGTAAGATGATGGCAGACACCCCTCCTTTCAGCCAAAAGCCTGAGGGAGGGAGGGAGGGATGTTGGTTTGCGGGAAAAGATGGGCTGTTAACATGCCTGAGTGCCTGCATACCTCTTTTCTATTTTTAGAAGATAGCAAAAAAAAAAAAGGAAAATTCTGGGCCAGGTGGCCATTGGCCAGTTGACACCCCTAGTCTGGAAGCAAAGTTACTTTTCTTTTTGAAATTGGAAAAGCTCCTATTATCTTTTCTAAGTAATAATTGAAGCATGGGCCGAATGAAATAAACTATCAAGTGTCCATTTTTTTTCATGTGGTTTGACTTATCAGTTTCAGTGTAATTTAAATGTACAACATTTAGCTTGATTCAAGGCTATGTTTGGCTCATGTTTATAAACTTTTTTATAAACACTCCAGCCACATTTTATTTATCACACATTTCAAGGGATCCATAAATACTACCCACTTATTCACCACCCATTTCTATTTATTTATAATTCACACTGTTCTATAAACACTTCTCAAACATGCTCCGAATTTGAATCACCGTTAATAGCATACTAAAATCAGTATCTTTGACATCTGGAACAAATTTGGTTCCTGAAAATAATGAGTGGTTAGTAATTTGTAATATGAAACAGTGTTGATTGTAATTGGAAGGAATAATATGCTATTTGTATCTTTTCTTGGTTACTGAAATTTAGTGGTAATCTAATTTTAGCCTATTCCTTCATAATGGAGATTCTGATGGGTACTTTAGGCTACTTTTGTTATGTTTGTAGATAATGGTTGATAGTTATCATTTGATTTACTTATTATCCTACTTTGATAAGTGAACACGATCACCCGAATTGCTTGTTTAGGTTCGAACCTCTACTTATTTATTCTTTTTTGATGAGTGATCATTTTTTGACTTGTTTCTTTTCTATGGATATGACATTTGTCTGTTATTTTATTTTTATATTTTCTTGGCAGTCAATCGGATTTATTGGGCCTGGCATTGCTCTCATTGGTTTAACGACAGCAAAAAGTCCAGTATTAGCATCTGCTTGGCTTACTGTAGCTGTTGGACTGAAAGCATTTAGTCACTGCGGCTTCCTTGTGAATCTTCAGGTTAACATACTCTGTACACTATAATTAGTCATTTCAGCAATTATTGGGCAATTTTAACTTCTGTCATTCTTCTGTGACCAGGAGATTGCCCCACAGTACTCTGGTGTACTACATGGTAATTTCTCTATTTTTTCTGCCTAATGATTTTAAATCAGTTAGTCTTAACATTTCGATAAAGCACTGGGTCTACTGAATACCGTTCACTGCTGTATAAATAAAAGTGGAATTCAAGTAAATAAGAATCTAGCTAATGTAGCAGAATCAATAATAAATGCACATCCACCATTGTCAATACAATAGAAAAATCATAAACGAAAAGGGAAGAACGAGGAGGAGGAAGAGGTTGATCCTGAAAGAACAAAATTTCACTACACTTGCCAGATTCTTGTGTTGAAAGTTTTGAAATGAGTAATAGGAAATAAATTAGTTACTTGCAAGAGTTACTAATTACTTAAAAGTAATCTATCCAAATATGTCTGGACACAAGCCTTTTGAAAGTAACCTCTACTTATTATTAAGCTTAGCCAAACATGCTCACTTCTTTCCTGGTGTTCCCTGCATGTTCTGTGCACCACCCATTGGCAACAGTCTCTGATAAGATTAGGCAGAGTGACCCGCTGCATGCTATAATAAACAAAAATTTGGCTTCTTTTTCTTTGAGTAACATTGTTGAATGCTATCCAATTCTCCTTACCAAGCTTGTCCAGAATATGTATTTGATGACATAGTTGTCTTTTTCCCATTTCTACAGGTCTTTCAAATACTGCTGGCTCGTTCGCTGCGATGGTGGGAACAGTCGGTGCTGGTTTCTTCGTGGAACTAGTCGGCTCTTTCAAGGGATTTTTGTTGCTGACAGCATTTCTGTATTTCTCTGCTGCTTTATTCTGGAATATCTTTTCTACAGGTGAGAGGGTCAATTTTGATGAAGCTGCTTAGTTTTCCTCGGATCTGATGATTTCAGTTCGATTTGGTTCGAGGTTGTGGGAAATTACATTGCATATATTTAGAAAGGCAGTGGTTATCATGTTGGTATGTTCCTTTTTTAGGCAGATTTTTGTCAGCCTAAACGTGTAAATAGTGAACTGGTCAGAACCCACACAGAAGAAAAAGAGTGTAAATAATACAAGATTTTAGATGCATTGTGCTCTCAATAGTATGTGAGATGAGTTGCATTAATTTCACCAAATCTTACAGCTATAGTGAATCCATTTCTCACTTGACTTTTATGAAACAGTATTACAGAGAAGCCAAAACTTAGGCCATTCAAAGTTGTTCATTCACAATAGCTTATAACATGTTTAGAATGCTAGATTAGACACTTAAACATGACGATTGATAAGTTTTGTTGCACTTCTCATGTTATCATAATGTTGCGTGGAAGAATGTACATGATAAGGCATGTTTATAGCACGTGTAGTATGTAGTATCAGATAGAATTGTATATTAGAAGTTTTTTGTCTTCCCTCTTTTTAAGTATTGTTCAACACACAGGGTTTTGTTACATTTATGGGTTCATTGAAATGTGTGGTTAAAATGAAGTTTTATCATTTATAACTAATTTGAATTCGATGAAGGTGATCACGTGAAGTGGCCTTGATCCTAAACTTATTAAGTCGATTTGATTTTCAACGTACTTGTTCACCAATTCTGCAATAAAATCCAAAGAAGGTCAAGAAAATTCACTCATTCGATTCTCAATGGTGATGTCGAAAGCGTGATAGACTGGATCAAAATCAGGAACTTGCTGTGGATGTATGTTTCCTGTTCATTAATCGAACGCCTGTCGTCACGACCTCAAACAAATTTGAATCTTGGAATCACAACTATTCAACGAGACCTTTGGGACATGAAATAGTACTTCAAGTCACTTTGTTTAACTAGCTCTTGTGGTCCGGTCCGTATTTGGCTACACTGAATCCAATGGTACTGCAGCTGTTAAAGCCAGAATCCCGATTGAAATTCTGCCAATTGCTCACCCTTTTGGGGAAGGAGCCTGGAGAGATTGCATTTAATATTAATTACCGCGCGTCCTCATTTTTCCCCTTTCAAGTTTGAGCCAGAGCAAGCATAATATGCGGATGCTGTTTCTGAAGTATAAATTCCTTCTTTGAACAATTTGAATATGCTACTGACAGAATTATCGTAATATAATAATTAATAGGATCATAATGTTAATTTGAGCCAAACCATTTCCAACTGCAATTGCAGAGAGCGTCCGTGATCAATTAATAAAAGTATGTTTGACTAACTAGTTCTTCAAAGTTTTGCTATTGTAAGGACATTTTAACTCTTCTCGTGCAGCTCTATTGTCTTTACGAAACACGGGGATTCATATTGGTTTTCCTTTTCCTATGTTTAGTTATTCTCATGGATTGCGGTTAGAAAGGGGAAAGTAAAGGAAATACATTTTTTTTTTTGTGTGGTTTTGCAAGCATGCTTGGTAGTAGTTTCTTGGTCTGACCAATAAGAGGCATGCCTTTACCAGCACGAGGTGTTAAGAACATCACATTTTGCCACCATAAACCAGTAAAGAATTAATTAAAAGTTTTATGAAAGTAGTTTCTGTTGAGAATTTATTTAATTATGCACGGAAAATAAAATAATTTCAATTCCCACAAAAAAATCTTCTTCATACTTAGATAAAAATTGTGATAAGAATTATACGTTATGTAGATTTTGCAAACTCTATTGTCGATCTTGGGATACGAACAATCACGATCTGCAACTCACAACTGTTCAATTGTATAGCCTTCAATGAAAATTCACACATGGAATAAGAATGAGAGAATTAGAGTTTCTCTTTTCTTATGCATCAAAAATATGAATTGTGTTGTGTTCAATTTTTCTGAAACCCTAATAGCTTATTAATATAAATCCAAGTGGGCTTACCTCGTCTCTTCAATCTAAATCCGATCTAATATTTAATTAATCTAATTAATTAAATTAGTCCATGAATTAATTAATCCAATTAATTAATTCGGACCTATAAACAAGCAACCCAATTAATTAATTGTCGAACACTTGTTAATTAATTAATTTGTGAACCCCATTCTTCTGCTTCTCTTTTTGTGTGTGACTAATCCCATCACGATACTAACAACTTAAATTAATATTTGGATCTAATCAAAATTGATAAATTAGAATATTCCATTTTAATTTATCATCAATTCACGTCTATCGTCCCAAATTGGCAACATCAAATATTACTAAAGTACACCTGTTCTCATATAGTTATCCATGTGAAATCTCTTTAGCGGGTTTCCAATGCTTTGTTCCATAACAAAATATATATGTGTTCATTTAAGTGTCACCACACTTTAGTTTGTGAGATCAGTTACTTACTTTCTACTTTGATGAAATGATTAGTGCATGCAACTGGTTTTGCGAAGTAAAATAAACTCAATTCCATAAATAGGTTAACATGTACCCTTTATATATTTCATAATTTTTTTTTTTGACATGACTAATATTTTCATTTTATGTCAATCCTATTTATGTGGCTATTATATCTTATTTTTGTTAAAATTTTGTATCGGAAATTGGTTGTAACAAATTTAAATGATTTAAGCGGAATTCGTTATTTGATGAATGAGAAATTAATCCAAATTTAAGCCGCTTAAACACTTGAAATTGTTGGAAAATCGTGTAGAATATTGTGAAATATTTTAGAAAATGTGTAGATGAAAAGATGTGTCTTTTCATATGGAAGATCATGACATTTGGAGATCATGACTTTTGGTATGATTACTTTGCAATAATTATGAATTTTAATTTCAAGAGATGTATCTCTTGATATGGTTGTGTCTTTTGACAAACCTTTCCAACTACTATATATAAATTATCATGTGTTTGGATTGAGTACAATTCAAAGTGATAGTTTCATATCATTCCATTTCATGCTTACACTTTAATTTGCATGAAACAGTTTAGCTTTGGTTGCTTTATGCTAGTATATAATTATATGTATAAATGCCTGTTGGAGTTAGCGGAATGTCACCTGCCATTTCATGGGTTTAAAAAAATATGTTTTATATGCATGTTTGATTTCAGATTTGAAAATGGGTTTAGAAAATCTATATTTTAAATTCATTCTAATGAATTTGCTATTGAAAATTACCATAGCCGTATTTATGGTCATTAATATATGTAGTATGCATTACAATTTAATGGATTGTGGATTTAGTTTTAAAATATATAGTAGTGCATGACTATTAGTTGCATGAAGTATGCATGTTATAGTTTCTGGAATTATATAATTAAATGTACACATGGTTGCACGGTTGGAAAAAATAAAAATAAAAAAAATAAAAAAATAAATAAAAATGATAGAGCATGACTTTGGATTTTTGTAACAATTGCATGTGAAGACAGTTAGTGGGTGATGTTTAGATTTAATTTACTTCTTTAAAGTAATTTCTTCACGTCTTTCGGCAAATGAAAGGGCAGGAGTTCATTGTCTTCATGTTGTTTAGTGTAAAACAGATTATACATTTCATATCATGACATGTTCGAGGTTTGTACCATATCAATGTTTGACCTTTTGGTCTTGGTAAATTGATCGATATTGAGATCAATGACTATATTTCTAAATATGGAAGTGTATGAATTTCATCAAGATATTGATATTTCTAGTCACGACATGCGCTGACTAAAATGACATAAACTTATACAATGAATGTATAAATGTTTGGAACATAAGTTGTCATTTTTTCACCTTGATCGTGATGAATTGGATATTGTTGAGATTAATACAATTCAGGCAACGAATTGATAGAAAGGAGAAAATTTACTCATAACCATTGAAAATGTATAAATATTGGAAGAATGCCAACTATGTATTGAAAGTATATGAACTTTCATGATTATTCCTTTTTAGGAATATGGAAAATTACATTAATGATGACTTCTCAATTAATTTGATGAAATTAAGTGAGATGATTTATGCAAAATTGTGATTGCATAAAATATGACAAAAAAAAAAAAAAAAATTGAATATGGTGAATAAGTATTATTTAACATGAAATAATTCTATCTTGTGAAATGTCACAAATGTGATATGTTGCGTATATTGAGAGAAGTTGCAATTCTTGTGAATCAAGATGTTAGTCTTCTTCATTGACATCAAACCAATTAAGTTGGTATATGCTTTGAAAGCATTGATATTCTGTGTGATGACCTCAATTTAATTTAGATGATCAAATTAAAAGAAAGTTGAATTGAAATATAATTTATGCAATTTCAATTGAAATAAATTGTGGGTTGACGACCACTATTTTGAAAGTACTTAAACTTTCACGAAGCATTCGATATATACATTATCTATTTGATAAATGAATTGAACTACGAAAGAGTTGATGAACTCTTAAGTTTAAGTACAACCCAAAAATGTCGGGATTAACATTAATGCTTGCGAACTTATATGAAAAGTTCAAGATTTGTGGATGCAACATTACTAGTTGCACATGCACTCCTAATTGAGGAATTGTGGGGTAACTTATATTAAAAGTTACATTTTTTTATACCTTATAATCATAAAAATATATCTATGAAGGTGGAAAAGGTAGAAAACCCTTAAGGATGATATACACTAAGTCTAAAGTGGATGAAATGGGATAAAAGACGATTATAGCGTTTGTTTGGATATGCAAGATCAATTGGAATATTTGAAAAATATTCATAAAGTTGAAATGCATTGTAATATTTCAATAATGGAATTGAATACCCATGTTTCTGAAATCCACTAGTAAGAGTGATGGACTAGTATAATGCGTGATAGAAATCCCTAACATTGTTGTTTGGAATTTATAAAACTTTAGATAAAGTTAGTTAGAACCATGTATCTTCATAAGATGATTTCTTGGTGGTGACATGTTGCATCTATTAAATCAATCGATCATTGGCTAGCTATATTGGATGAGATATTAAGTCGCACGTAATGGTAAGTCTAGACGTATAAGTCGTAGACATAATACCGTTCAACAGTTGATCTCAATGGTGTAAACTCGTGGTACCTTTAAGAGATTTACCGAGAGATCAAGAATACTGCATATCGAGGGGAATGAGATTAAAGCCTACTACGTAAGGGTCTTTGTAATGGTTACCCTACCTTGTTGACTGGAGATCCTAAGATCTTGGTTCAAAGGGACAACTAAGTTATGAAAATTACATGAAGCACTTAGGAAATTATTTCTATGATAATTAAAGTGCTTTCTGTAGAATGATTGAAAGTTAAGATACTCTTTTAATGATTCCTATATCTTGTTTAAGTCAAGTAGAGTATGACATAATACTCTTAATAGGAGATCACTTATGTAAGTGTGAAGTGGGGCCACTTCAATGAGAATTGTTCGAGGCTAAAATTTTCTAAACACTTATGAAACCAAGAGTGATCCAGGGTCAAAATGGATACAATCATAAGAATCATTAACGGTTTACAGAAGACATTTGTGTGAGTACTGTTGTCTTGACTTACACTAACGCCTGAATGGTTCAAGACATTACGTTCACCAATTAGCCAGTAAGTCCGATAGTATTTCACTAAGGGAGGTTCAAGGCCAGAAGCTCCCTTCTCTGATACAGTGTTTTCCGTCCTCTACTAGTGTTTGCATAGTCATTTGCACTAATTTTCATTTATGTAGGGGTTTGTTGGAATTTTATATCGGAAATTAGTTGTGACCAATTTAAATGATTTAAACGGAATTCATTATTTGGTGATCCAATATTGTGGAATATTCTATAAAATGTGAGGATGAAAAGATGTGTCTTTTCATATGGAAGATCATGACATTTGGAGATCATGACTTTTGGTATGATTACTCTGTAATAATCATGAATCTAAATTTCAAGAGATGTGTATCTTGGTATGGTTGTGTCTTTTGACAAACATTTTCAACTATTATATATAGAACCTCATGTGTTTGGATTGAGTACAATTCAAAGTGATAGTTTCATATCATTCCATTCCATGCTTACACTTTAGTTTGCATAAAACACTTGCATCAAAATCATGGTTATGATAGAGAGAGAATTCTGTTCGAGTTCGTTGGTCTAAGCCATTTGGAGTGCTCCTATGGCTTGACGTGGTTGTTGTATCTTGGAAGATGATTGCTAGAAACCGTTAGCACCGATGCGGGGCAAATTCATCTTAAAGACAAAGTGTCAAACACTTACCTTGGCCGATCACATCACTTGCATCTCATCTTTCTTTTTCTGATTTCATTCTAATTTAGTATTTTGATTTCAGAAAATAACTATATTATTTTGATTTCAGAATATGGTTAATTTATTTATGTGTTTTGTTGTAAGGTTTGAATTAAAGAATGACATGCGTTCAAGATTGGAAAGTGATGAATCTATATTCATATATTCGAAGTCGGTAATTCACTAATTTGCCTTCTCAAATCAAATTTCGGTAAGTCGAATGATATTTCGATTTGACGCATATTAACTACATGTTCTTGATGAATATAATATACACATTATCGGTGTAAAATCTCCTACAATTTTCTCCTGTAATTTGGTAATGGATTAATCTTGTATCATCTCCTCTTTTAACAACAAAAAATGTGAAGGATAAGCCTCAAAGTAACTTGTAGGAGCCTGTTTGGTACACATTAAAATGAGAGAATGCATTTTTTTTGAAGTGATGTGATGGAGAATATGCGATTGAAAATGAACGAAAAGTTATTGATGTGATGAAAAATATTATTTTATTAAAGAATGTTTGGTTTAAAATGAGTAGAAGAATGAATGAAAAAAATAATGTTGGTCAAACATGGGCTAAAACTTGGGTTGGTTTGTTTTATGGTTATTTGCTTTTATTACTCTTTCAAGTTCAACTTTGTCCATTTCGTTAAAGAAGGTAATTAATCTTTACTAAAACTCTCTTTCAGACTGGGTGTTTATAAAAGCGTTATTTGGTAATTGAACAACTCGTTCGACAATCAGATACTTTGATGGTGGACTTGAGGTGGGTTAAATTGGTGGATCTGGTCTTCCATTCCCATTGGCTTTAATTACCTCTGAAAATCGAATCCTCTCGGAGAAATGGCCCACAATTCCAATCAAAAACTTTATTTCCACAAAGAAATAACAAAGTGAATATATGGCTTGAGAGCATTGAAACGAAAATTAATCAACTTGAGATAACCCAATCAATAGCCTTGAAACAATTTTGATGCTTACCCGTGACTGTTTGAATGTAGTACCAAAATGCAGCTGCAATCAAATTCGCCCAAACAGCTCTGAGTTTTCATTTTAAACTAACTTATCACTATTGGCCAGACGAACAAGTTTTAAGATCAAACTTCGATTTGGCCACGCAATCATCTTAGTGATATCATCACACACATTACTCCCCACACATAATTACTCCCCCACAATATGAAAAAGGTAACCCACGGCTCCAGATCAAATTCTATTGCCAAACTCAAATCAAGGAGAGAAATCTCATTGTAGACTCGTATAGGTTGATATATTCACGACACCTCAAATAAACAAGGAGCTGCTAACGGTCATAAATAGTCCAACTAATGCATCTACCATGTGGCATATTACAAGTAAATTCAAGCATCACGCACAAGCAGCATTTGAATCATGCATCAACAACGCTGACATGCAGATAAGAGTACATATACCATTATATGTTTGCGATAGACGAAAATGAAACATAATGCCTAAAATAGGGGTATTATAGCCCTAAACCAGTTCTCGTTATAAAACAGCAAGTATGGCTCTCCTAAACTGGCATCCTGAAGAGCATGTTCATTAGACTAAGGTGAAGCAGACTCGGGAGTAACTGGTCTAGATGATGAACTGCCACTAGGGCTCCTAGAATGTCTTCTTGAAGAACGGCTGTCACGTGAGTATGCTCGTTTGTGAGATCCACTGGGACCACCGGATGCACTCCTCTTTGAGCTTTTGCTTACTTCACGGGAAGCATGAGAATCATTTCGCTTTAAGATGCCACTTGGTTTGGGAGACACGCTACGAGAGTAACTCCGCCTAGAGCTCTTCCTCGGAGATGGTGTAACACTTCGATAGTGGCTTCTATTAGTGTACCTCGGCGAGATACTGCGCGAGCAACTCCTCCTTGAACGCCTTGGTGAGGGACTTGGTGAGTAACGTCTCCTGGAAGTCCTCCTATACCTTGGTGATATGCTACGAGAAATAGATCGGTATCTCCTGCTTCTGTAATATCGATCATCTGGAGTGTAGTCCCTTGAAACAGAACGATAGCGACTCCTATAATAATACCGGTCATCAGGAGAATAGTCCCTATAGTAGGGAGAATAGGACCTGTCACGTCTGCTAACAGGAGACCTGCTGTATGATGGAGACCGATATCGTGAATAAGACCTTCCACGGCTGTAATATGGGGAGTATGACCTGCGTCTATCATCTGGAGAGTACGATCGTCGCCGCCGACTGTAATAAGGAGAATATGATCTGCTACGACTCCTAGAGCCAGAAGAGTAGCTACGAGATTGGCGCCCTGCATGACCAGGGAAAAGCTTAGGAGTCTCTGTACCAAAATAATCATAACAACACGACTACAAACTAGTAAAACAACTCACCGTGAGTCCTCAGCCCGAGGTACTTTCCTGGAGTAGGTGTACGGCCTCTCCGTCTTCTAGCCTGCAAGATTGAAAATCAAACCATAAGGTTACACTACCTACTTTATGATCGAGTACATTTTCCTGACAAATAAAAATAAATCTCAGGGAATATAAGAAAACTGCAATATGTAAATAAAGACAAATTGCAAGAGAAAAAGAGAAATGCAGGGCATACAACCCTCTGAATTAACAGTCGGATATTTGCTTGATGTGTTTGATTTGATTTGTTAGTTTGATGAAGAGTTGCTGCACACAGCTACCCTGTCGTCAAAGAAACTTCAGGCGACGAAAGCAAACAAATTTCTCAACCTCAGTTTCAATAAGCGAACAAGATATGCAAAACCAATGCCTTATAACCTTAAAATATAACCAAAAAAGGTACCCATGCATTTAAATGCTGGAAAGTAGGGATGAAGTTGTATTACCTTCTCCACTGTTATGACCCTGCCTTCAAGAACTGAGCGGTCCAAGTACTTAATGCAGCGATCAGCATCTTTCAAAGTGGACATGGTAACAAATGCAAACCCACGAGATTCCCGTGTCCACGGATCAACAACAAGGTGAACATCTTCCACCTAAAGAAGCACCACATTAGCGATCAAACAGCACCATGCACACTTGTACAATACTCAACGAAAAGATCGAGTCTGTAGACCAGTATCCCAATGGGAATTTATAAAACTAGTTAAAAATAACATGCAGCTCATGCATACCACTCCCTCGGATGAAAAGTGCTTCTCAATCTCTCTCTTTGAAACTCGTGCCGAAAGTCCAGTCACATACAAATTATTTCCCGGATTCTCAGCATCACTTGAGTCGGGACTCCTGCCAAGTCACCCAAGAAAATTTATTCAGTCTATTTCAACAAATAAGAGGATCAATCAGTGTAGTAACATATTCTTGACATGAGAAGTCAAGTCTGTCTACAATCAATTCCATTAAATAAGAGAAATGATTGATTCTGATCATTCCAAAGTAAATGATTTCAGGTCTGTAAATCACCTTGATCTGCTCCTTGACAAGGACCTTGAGACAGACCTGTCCTCGCTCTTGCTAGGGGAAGGAGAACGGGAATACCTAGATCAGAAACTCGCAAAAAATTAGTACAAATTTAAAAATAAGTATAATATCTTCATTATAATTAAACTACACTTAAGAGATCAGCTCACACCTTGACCTCCTGGTATATGACATCTGTGAAATAACACGTAGACTATTAGAATTTAAGACAAATGACATGAATACACATTGCAAACAATAAAAGAAAGCATGAACAAGCATAAAAAATAAAAAAATAAATAAAATAAAAAAGAAAAAGCGACAATAAATAAGAGAGATTCAAATTCAAACGAACTTAAACATCAAATTGAGTAATTCGAGGGAATAACAAATTGATTGGTGATAGTCTATAGTCGATCAATTGTCAAAGCTCCACTTGAGCAAATTAAAACACATGTTTCACTTTTAAATGATTCACTAATTATATTTTACATAATTTGCCCGATAGCCGATAGGTAAAGCATAAATTTCATATTCATATAGAATAAGAAGATATTCATATGTGAAAATCGTTATTTGAAACGTCTAAAAACAAACCAGGTTGGATAACAAGATTTATCGAGCGCACTACCTCATGAACAATCAAAATTTCAATTAAAAAACAAACACACACAATCTACGAACAAAAACCATTAAAATTGAATTTATTCCAATTATCTGCGCTATCCGCACAATTAACAAGCGCCAGCAAATTAACGACAAAAAGGCACCTCATCCGCATACAAATGAAATTATATTATTAAAAAAAAAAAAAAAAGACGACCATGAAATGAACTTCCGTAAATTAAAAAAAGAATCAAATGCTAAACACAATCAAATTAAAACGAATTAAACTCACCTCGTTAATTGTTAAAGATCGACAATGATTTTCCCTTTCGGTTCTCTATGTAATCTCTCTCTTCCGATTTGTAGAAGTCTCCAGAAAATAAAAATCTTTTTGTTACGCGTCTATATATAACGGGACTCGGAACTTTCTGGAATAGCTTCAAATGGGCCGTAAGAAATGGGCCAGGATCAGTTGGGACTCGGGCCCAAACAACAGTTTTCTTTAGCATGACTTGTACTTACAAATATTCCCTTAAAATTATGGATATTTTGAAAAATCATATGAAAAGTTTTTAAAAAATAAAAAATATTGTGTAAAATGAAAAAGTGACACAATGTCACTTTTTTTTTTATAAAAATTGTTACTTTTTTTAAAAAAAGTGACACAAACTCAAAAAAAGTGATAAAATTCAAAAAAAGTGATACGCTAAAAAAGTGATACAAACTCAAAAATGTGACAAATACTTAAAAAAAAACAAAATATCGATCAAAACCTATGTTTTTTATTCAAAAAAGTGATATAAATTTTAAAAAGTAACAAACAATAAAATTGAAAAAAAATTCAGAATAGTAACAGAAAAAGTGAAACACATAAAAAAGTTACAAATACACAAAAAAGTGATAAAATTGTCACTTTTTTAAAAAAAATGTGACATAATGTCACTTTTAAAAGTTTAGTGTTATTTTACAATTTCACTTTTATTAAAAAGTGATGTTTGTTACTAAAAATATGATTGAAATTTCAAAAAGGCGACTGAAAAAAGTGACAAAATAAAAGTTTAGTGTCATTTTACAATCTCACTTTTATTAAAAAGTGATGTTTCTTACTAAAAAAATGATTCAAATTTGAAGAAGACGACTGAAAAAAGTGACAAACTAATTGAATTCCATCAAATTGAATGTCACATAGCATTCATCTTTACGCACATAACAAGATTGCCTCTTAGCCGATCGAAACATATAAATAATGTAGAGATAGATAACAAAATGAACATTGATTACACCCATTTTCCAATAGCAAATACAAAGTTATGTCTCGTTCAAATTACAAACATAACTCAAATAACCAGTTCAACTAATAACTATTAATCAAGCTAATTGGTGGAGGCGGAGGACACTCTGGTCCCCCTGTATGGGAGTTGTGATAAACATTGATGACTTGTGGTGGTCGAGGAGCGAGAAGCTCATTTTCCTCGTATAGGGAGGTGGTGGAGCATTTTCGCCGTAAAAGGGATACGGTGGCGGATTTTCACTGTAATAGGGAGGAGGTGGCACATTTTCCTGTAAAAGGGAGGCAAGTGTGGTCGTGCCGATGGCGGACTTGCGGTGGTCGAGGAGGGGAGAGTTCATTTTCCCCGTATAGGGAGGCAGTGGAGCATTTCCATCGTAAAAGGGAGGGGGTGGCGGATTTTCATTGTAATAGGAAGGTGGTGGCGCATTTTTCCTGTAAAAGGGAGGCAAGTGTGGTCGTGCCAGTGGCGGATACTCTTCTTCTCTCATGTGTGATTCCATGGTGTAAATGAGGGTGCCGGCCGGAGATGGAGATGGGTGTGACGGTGTTGTTTCACCATTGTGAAGGGAGACGATGGCTTTGGAGACGGTATCCAGATTTGGTTTCAATTTAGGGGACAACGAAGTGAGGCGATGGCTTTGGTCGCGTTGTGAGTGGGTTAGGGTTTTATTGTTGCTGTAAACGATTTCTTTTCATCAATTTGGGCAGTTTGAGCGTACAATTTACTGTTTGGACAGTTTGAACAATTATTCGATTTTATAGATTGTAGGCCGTACTGGGCCTAATTTCCCTTCATTTAAATTCCATTGTTATTTGTACCAGGGAGCATTACATAATTCTTAGTTTTAAAAATTACATTTCATAAAAATATAATATATATTAATTATTTCTATCCATCTCACCTCACATATCACATCCTATTACCCTACTACACCACCTTCCCTCCACATCTCCACCGAAGACTGCCATCAGCTTGGGCGGCCTCTCCAACTATCACACTGGCGACTTCTCCCTCGGCCGCTCCGGCAATCACTTCGTCGGCTGCTCCGACTACTGTTCCGGCGGTCGCTTCGGTGACTTAAAGATTTCCAAAAAATTAAAAATTGAAAATCACAACCCCACCCCCATGGATCCACCTACCACCACCCCATCCCTGCCTCCACCTACTAAAAAATTATCAGAAAAAAAATTGTGTTCAGTTGACTGTTTGTGACTAATTGTGACCAAATTTGTATTCAATGTGACTAATTGTGACCAAATTTGTGTTCAGTGTGATTGTCTGTAACTAATTAAATCTTAATTGTGACCATATATGATCAAGTCACAATCGGTCACAATTAACACAAAATTGGTCACAACCAGTCACAGTACACACATATTTGGTCACAAATGATCACATGGCAAACTTGAAACAACAGGATCAAACCACGAGTCATAAATGCTGATCTCCATCTCATTCATCCATTTTACCTCAATTAAAAATCATATGCTCTTACATCCTATCTCAGTTTTCTTGGTGTCCATTGCCTAACCACCAACACCACACATCACCCCAAACTGCAAGCACAATACCAGTATGCCAGAAACTGGAATATATATAAACTGAAATGAGTTTCATACCAATTGAACAAATTGAATTGCATTTCCCTTTTGCAAAACACAGAACTAGTGCAAAATTTCAAACGTAGATACATAATAGTCACAACTAAATTTCAAATTTAAACACTGCAGTACAACATCAAGCAAATCATATGGCATATTGCCCCATTTCATCGTGCAAATCCCAACCTTCTGACGGCGACGTCTTTCACGGAGGTAAGGCAAGGCGCGGTGAAACTCTGTTGATAATGGATAACTTAGGTCGAGCGAGCGACATAATCTTCGAAGATGGTGTGGCGTGACGTTATTCCGAGTCCAAGTGTGGCCGGAGATGGTGAGTTGTGGGGATTACGATTTTCGACTTCAACTTGCCGATTTTCACATTGTCGGCTGTGCTTAGGGTGTCGATTTGGGGGTGGGTTTCTTGGTTATGATTCTGTGCTCCTGTGCTTGTCCTCGAGCTTCGCTATTGTTCTTTGCTCTCGGAGCGAAGTCGCTGTGGCGAAGACGTGAGTACCGGGAGAAAGAAGAGAAGGAACAAAGAGGAGATGAAGGAAAAAAGATTATGGTTTGGCCGCTGTGGCGACGTTTGGTGCCGAGAGAAAGTAAAGAATGAACAGAGAGGAGATGGATGAATGATTAGGGTTCGTGGATTGAAATTTGGTGGGGGTAAGTGGTAGGGTGGGTATACAGATTAATTTAATTTTATAATATCATTTAATATTAATTGTGAAATTAAAATCTGATTTTTGATTAAAAAAAGTTTAGACTTGAGTTTTGAAAGTATAAAACTAAAGAATCATGCTACAAGTACATTAACTTTGACATTGTGCCATGTGTCGGATCATGATTGGACAATTTTTAAATACCACACACTTTCCCGCCCATTTGCATTTGAATTCACATGGATTGTCATGGACTCCATTTGAACCATGGAAGGTACAACAAGCCAAATTCAAAACTAAATGCCTGATTTTAGGTCATTTTCTCTTTGTACTATGTAGTGCAAACTATAGATTTTGCCAACAACCATTATAAGAATTTTTTTTTATGTACTCAGAACTTGTTTGAGCCTCAATTTTTGTCAAAAATGTATTTTAGAATAGTGATTTGATGGAGAATGCATGGTTAAAAAATAGAACAATGCTAAATGTACACTTTAGTGTACATCCTCAATGACATTCACCCCTATGTGGAGAGAATTTGTGCGATGATGTGATGTGTCTTCTAAATCAATGGTGTGGATCATGTCACAAGGTAGAGTGTGAACCAAAGTTTAGAATAAAGTGTACATGTAGCATAGTTGTAAAAAATAAGGAAACATTTTTGGGTTTGTGTGTAATATTATTTTATTGAAAAATGTGTGGTTGAAAATAAGAGAAAGAAAAAAATATTTTGAAAATAATAAGGATAAAAAAAGGGCTTGTTTTTAATCGTATATTCNAAAAAAGGGCTTGTTTTTAATCGTATATTCACACAATAAAATATTTTTCACGTAAATTCAAAAAAATTTCATAATTTTTTAGCACACGTTCTCATAAACATCAATAATCAAAATATTATTTTCCCAAATAATAACTATCAAACATTGGCTTATGTATGAAAAACTGAACAAATACTTGATTATACAATTTTTTTTTTTTGATGTTTTCCTTATAACTAATTTTATATTTTTTGAAAAATACTAATTTTCCATGTTATAAATATGTGCCTACCATTATAAATAGAACTTAAACACCACCAAACAATATCATTGTTATTGATCCTGACCAACCACAATGTCAAAATCCCCACCCTAAAAACCACCACCACCACCACTTAGTATACGTGAAAACTTAGCTGTAGCCCCTACCACTACTCTTTAAAGAGCCAACGCCACAAGACAATTTTCACGCACCACCATATCACCTACAGACAACAACCATACATGTTCATCATCGTCATTACCTCCTACCGTTATCTTACTCATCATCAAAACAACTTAAGACATTGATCTACCATTCTACATAATTCCAACCTCTAGTTCTATCAGAATCCACACATTTGGGAAACAGTAGTGGTGGCGCGAAGGTGCAAAGTTATTGGTGATGATTGGAAATGGTTGATAGGTATAGATATGTGGCATTGAAGTATTTTTGAGGTGGTTTTAGGTTGTGGTAATGGTTGTTCCAACGTCAATGGTGGTAAACTGTTCGCAAATGTTGTCGATATAAGTGGTGGTTTTTGTATAGTGTTCTTTTTTGTTAATATATTGTTTGAAAGCATCGGCACAAATTATATTTCTAGAAATATCTTTGGTTGGAGACTTTCTTTTATAGACCTTGTTAGCTGAAATTGTGCTACACAAACAGACTCAAAAATATGTTTAAAAATAGAGGGAACATGTGTCGATGCAGGATTGGACATTTTGATAAAAAAAAAAAAACTCAAAGAGGTGCTATCAAGTTGTCTGTCCATCTTTTTCCTATCTTTGAGTCTATTCAATTATCATTATTTTGTTAGATGAACACTTTTTACTGTGCGTAGTGGCAACTCAGCTCCGACTATGTAAATGACCATTCCTACATGAATTTTGTCCTGTGACTAAACCTAATTTGAAAGGCCCAAACTAGACCTACT